CCCCCCCCCCATGTTCATTGCAGCATTTATAATAGTCAAGATATAGAAGCAACTCAAGTACCCATCAATAGACAACTGAATAAAGAAGATGTGGTACATACATACAATATAATATTACTTGGTGGTATAAAAGAAGAAATCTTACCACTTGTAACAGCATGGATGAACCTAGAGGATATTATGCTCAGTAAAATAGGTCAGACAGAGAAAGGCAAATACCATATGATTTCATTCATATGTGGAATCTAAACAAACAAAATAGAAACAGACTCATAGATACAGAGAACAAACTGAGGGTTGCCTGAGGGAGGGGGTTCAGTGAAAAAGGTGAAAGGATTAAAAATTACAAGAATTAAAAGGATTAAAATGGTAGTTACAAAATAGGCATGGAGATGTAATGTACAGATTGGGAAATATAGTCAATAATATTGTAATAACTGGGTGGTGCCAGGTGGGTACTTGAATTATGAGGGGATCACTTTGTAAATTCATAATTGTATAACCACTCTGCTGTACACCTGAAACTAATATAAAATAATATTGAATGTCAACTGTGATTGAAAAATAAAATTTTTTAAATTATTGTTTATCTGAAATACAAATTTAACTGGGAATCCTGTATTTTGTCTGGCAATTCTATTCATACTCCTTCCAGTCAGTCCTGGATCCTTATCCTCTAGCTATGATCACTGGTCTGATTTTTTTTTTTTTTTTTTTGCCACCATAAATTACTTTTTCCTGTTATTTAACTGTCCAAGTTTATAAACTGGAATAATAAAGTATGTGCTTTTTTGTGTAAGACTTCTTTCACCAACATATCATTTTTTAGATTTATTCATTCTACTGTGTCTAACAATAGTTTAAACCATTTTATAACTATACCACACTTTATTCATTCTCCTATTGATGTCTACCTGAACTGTTTCTAGTTTGGGACTATTATAAATAAAGCTTCTATGAATATTTTTACATGTCTTTTTCTGGACATAGTTTTTTATTTCTCTTGACTAAACATCTAAGATGGAATAGCTAGATTACAAGGTAGATAGATGTATGTTTTGTTTTCTAAGAAACTGCTGGACCTTTTCCCACAGTAATCATATAATTTTACATTTCCATCAACAATGTATGAAAGTTCCAGTTGTCCAAATCCTTGCCAACATTTGGTGGTGTCAGAGTTCTTTTTTTTTTTTTCTTAGGAATTATTTTATTTTATTTTAATTTTTTGTTTTGTTTATTTTTTTTTAAATATTACAGATGCCCCTTTTTCTCCCCAGTGACCCATTCCATCCTGTCCCGGAGTTCTTAATTTAGCCATTCTGGTAGACATGTATTGTTTTTTCATTGTGCTTTTAATTTGCATTTCCCTAACAAATAATGATGTTAAGCATTTTTAGTGTGCTTATTGCCTATTTATATATTAATTTGTAAAACAGCTGTTGACTGTTTTGCCAATTTTTAAAAATTGAGTTGTCTTTTTACTATTGAATTAAAGAGCTCTTTATATATCCTGAATATTAGTTCTTGTCAGATATATGACTGAGCATCCAGAAGTCGGGATCTTTTTGCAGCCTAATCTTGTGACATTCCATTATTTTTGTCTTATTCTATTCATATTCTATTGCTGGAAATAAGTCACTAGGCCCAACCCACACTCAAGGGAGACACAAAAGGATGTGAATATCAGGAGGTGGGATCACATTTGTAGTTGAATTTTAATAACAATTATATTCTCTACATCTTTTTAAACTTAGGATGAAAATTTTTGGTGTCATCTTAAAGGTGTATGAGCAGATGCAGAGTTTTCCAAAATTATTTTAGAAATAAACAAAGATGTCCGAAGATGGCAGAGCTTCAGGCCTAATGCAGCTGGGTACTTTTGGGCCAGGGAGAGGGGTTGCAGGAGGGCGGAGAGACAAGGACAGATCAACAGAGATGGTCACCAGGAATCTGCCAGCAGCGGAAAAGGGAAGTTGATGCTTTGGACAGTGAGAAAACCCACCGCCCAGGTCTGGGAGCTCCAGTCCAGGGGGGTGGAAAGTACAGGGAGAAGCTAAGTGCGTTTAGATTTCATCGGCATCAAAGGCAAGGAAATATTGATGGTGATGTGTTTAGAATGGAGGGAGAAAGGGGATAAAAATGCACTTTTCAAAACGCAAATGTGTCTGGAGCGGGTAGGATGAAAAGAGAGGGCAAGGCTGGAAGCCAGGATCCGGCAGGAAGGAGCGGCGGCAACCCAGGACCGGGAACCGCGCGCGCCTGGGAATGGAGACGAGAGGACGCAGTTGGCGCCCGTTCTGCGGGAGACTAATAGATGTAAGGGCCGAAGACAGTCCTTCAGCAGACCGGGAGTAAGTCTCTCGGGAAACACGGCTCTCCGGGCGCTGCTGGGCAGGGAGCAGCGCTGGGCCAGGGATCGCGAATCCCCGGGTGCACGTCACACGCCCGGGAAATGGCCGCTCGGACTTCCTCCCGGGAGCCGAACGGGGACGCGCTGGGCCCCAAGCCACCCCGCCTCCCTGAGAAAAGAAAGGAAAGCCGGGGGAAAGGAGAGGGGAGCGGTAAGGGGGACAGGGACTAAAAAGAAAGACTTCCTTTGAAGAATCTCGAGTAGGGGCCTGAAGTCGACGAAGTGAGAAAAAAAGAAGTCTGGCCAGGGGAGACAGCAAAGGGGTAAAGGATGGAAACCGTACTTTCTAGCGTGACTGTAAGAGCTGCACGAGGTGTGGAACTGGCTGAGGGTCGAAGGCGCGCCCCGGGGCGAGGGCTGCTGTGGGGAGGGGCCGG